AATTCCAATTCATTCAACCATTTTTCACAAGTGTCAACGACCGAATTAACCTATTATGTTTAGTGATCTCTTTCAAGTAACACTAATCCTATTCATATACCCGAACTTATCATATCTCTATATAAATTCACACGCACATGAACGCTTATATATAAGAGTTCAAAAATAAAAAAAAATCGCACAGCTTATAATTATCTCTCGATCTCTTATGATGTCCATGTTAATTATTGCACAAATTAGAATTATACATCACCTCTCGATCTCAGTATTATTCTTAAATCAATTAATTGTTGCGCAAACAAATAATAGCATTAAACACACAATAATTAATTAACAAGTATTAAAATGACACGAACACCTTGAAATTAAACATATAATAAAATATTAAACTATATCATCAATACTAATAATAAAAGTATTTAACCACTCATAATATTGAATTTAAACATGCGAAAGTGGAAAGACATTATCAAAAATTAACGAAACGTAATGATGTCCAAATTGCTTGAATATATATATTAATCAATTCAGCTTCTGGATTCCAGCCGCTATAATTGACTTGTTCTCCTCCTCTTTCTTTTATTTTCCTCAAATCCCTGTCTTTTCCTATGTGTGTATATGTTTTATCAATTGCCATCTTTTTTTACGTGAATGAATATATATTTCCAGCCCCTGTTTTCTCCAAATTTCAGTCGTCGTTTGTGTGTATGTATATATTAATTCAGCCCACTTCTCCACTGTGTTGCCGGTTGTGTGTGTTGCGTGAATATAAATATATTTCTTCCTCCGTTTTTCTCCTAGTTTCAGCTGACTGCGTGACATATATCCCCCCGTTGCCCTTCAAGCTACTGATTTCTATATATACAATATAATATGGCTGCCAATGTGTAGTTCAATTTTTAGAAGCCCAAATTTAGGCCCAATAAATCTCAATACCAAATTAAATTCATTCTTCTTTCTAAGTCAAAAAAACTTCCATATAGTGCAAATTAATCCTTAAAATGAATTTATTTGTGCGCCCCATGCTAATTTAGTTTTCGTACTATGAATTTTGTCATTTTTCGATATTTTGCATTCTTTTCTTCAATTTTTCATTAAACATAAATTTTTACTTAAAAAAAATACAATTTAACATAAATTATGTATAATTTAATTCAAAAGACAATAAAATATCATGATTTAGCGTCTCAAATAAGTATACAAACTACACTTATCAAATACAATAAGACACGTCACATTATGCGCAAAGAGAGAATTGAATCTCACGT